CTTTTTACGGTGGTGGTGCAATTACGTTCCCGACCAGACTTTCTTTTTTACTGCGAGAAGGGACTGGGTTGGGGTGGGGGGGGGGGGGGGTTGAGGCCGGGTAGGGGTTGTTGGGGGTCGGGGGATTTTCTTCCAGTGATTCTAAGTTCCAAATCTGCATGCCCAGTGGGTGGGTGTGGGAGTGGGCAGGGCTGGTGGATTTACCAAACAAAGGATTGCATATTCTTCAAGTGATTTTATTCAGACTTGCTTGCCCGTGGGTGGAGGGGGGGGGGGGGGGACGGGTTGGATTTCCCAAAACAAAGAGGATGGAATATCATTCCTGGGAGAGAGAGGGGGAGAGAGAGGGGGAGAGAGAGGTGGAGGGGTTATAGTACTCCGAACCAGGAGGGTTGAATATCCCCGGAGAGCCGCAGATTGGGAGGGCCTGGAATTTCTCAATCTTCTTTTGATTTGGTCCTTGCATTATAATCCCGATCCTTGGGGCAGAGGGTGGGGGCCACGACAAACTATTCACAGAAACCTTCGTATGCAAATTAGGTGAACAGCGCCGAATTTTATGACGCAATCGTCAAATTCTTGCTTTAAAATACGCGCATGACATCGTCGTCGATCAATTTCGGCCACTCTCGCTAGGAGTAGGAGTCCATCTCTTCAATCCCGTTTGTCTTCTTTCCAGTATTTGGTTCAAATTCAAATGAATTTATTTCGAATAGTTGAGGATTTTAGCTGTCGAATGGTGTGCCACATGTGGGTGGTCGGTTTGATTGTGCGATGGTCGCAAGCAATATGCATGGACATTTTTCGAAGGAAATGCCAAAAATTGCGAATGATCAGTTAGTCTGTATACAGTATACACGTACGTACGTGCAGCAGAGCAGGGGATCTACCCGATGTTCCCCAATACCGATGTTCCCCCAAATCCATAGGATTAGGGTTAGGGTTAGGGTTAGGGTTATATTGGTAAGGATTTCGAGGAACATCGGTATTAGGGAACATCGGAATTGGGGAACATAGACATGCACCCGTGCAGGAGCTATGGAAGAAGCGTTACAAAGCAAGGATTCCGTTTGTTGATGGCCTTTTTTTTCGTCCCTTACTATCCCAAAGCGACGGGACGGGGTTGAGTGGGTGGGGTGAGGGAGGCCCGCGGGTTGGAGTGCAGGTTGGAAGGGTGGGGAGATAAGGGGCGGTGCACCGGGAACACTCCATGCACATTTTTTATTGACCCTTTTGGCCTTGCCAATTATCCCGACCCCTTGGGGCGGGGCGGGGATAAAATTTCCTTTGTTCCTAATTTTTCCTTTTTTCCGTGCACCATTATCCAGACCCCGGGGAAGGGGGCGTTAGGGACGGGGGGAGGGGCGAATGGGGGATGGGGGCAAATGGGGGATGGGGCCGCGTCCCCACTTCTACGCCTGTGCAATTAAGCGTGGGTGTGCGTGTGTGTGTGTGTGTGGGGGGGGGGGGGGGGGGGTTTAGAGTACTCCGAATCAGGAGGTTGGAATATCATGGTTTTTTTTATTCACCCTTTGCGCTGTCCCCTGGCGCGGAATGGAAATATGGGGTGAAAATATCTTATTTTCATGCAATGATGTTTTTGGGGGTTTTTTTTTGGGGGGGGGGGGCTTTATACGAAAACTTAAAAACAGTAATCATGAAAAATATAAAATTTAATAAAAATGCAAATTGCAGAAACGAATATCTCATATCTATTTTGTGAAAATGTTGTGGCTCTGAAAAGAGCCGTTTTGGTTTTAGTTTGTTGATTCGATGATTTCTTCGAAGGCTTGGCCGACACTTTCTTCTGCTTGCTCGATGTGTTCTTGCTGGCTGGCTTCTTGGCTGGCTTCTTGGCTGGCTTGGCTGGCATGGCTTGGTGGAGGATTTCTTGACAGATGTATATTTGACTTGGATGGCGTTTTCTTGGCAGCTTTCTTGGGTGACTTCTTCGGCGCGGGTTTCTTGACTTTATTCACCATTTTGGCTTTCTTGGCTTTTCTGCAATCTTGGCTTTCATTTCCCGTTCCTTCTTGGCCTTGATTCTCTCCTTCTCCTTAGCTGCATTAGCCTTGGCCGGCAGCCTTCTCTTTCTCCTCGGTGGTGTCAAACTTGAACGTACCAGCGGCTCCCTTACCTGCCATCCGAGTGAGCCTCCAACTTCATTGATTCATGTTTTATTATTTAAAAGTTTACTCTAGCATGGCTTATTACACAGAAATTCTTAGGGTGGATTATCTGGATCCGCACGTCCGTACCCCCGTGGGCGTACCAAACACCTCCCGCATGCAAAAAAAAACATATCTTTTTTCGCCTCTTTGGCCGACGTTCTGACTTGGTGGGTCCTTTTTCCGCAAGTTCAGAATATTTTCTCTAAAAATTGGTGCAAAATACATGTATTTGAAATGCCTTCCTTTGTCAGAAACCAACAAAATAGAAACTGCATTCTCATGTTTAGACGATACACAATGACATCAGAGGAGAATAACAATCAGTACTGACGAACTATTCGCTCACAAGATGCCTTTGATCACTAGTTCTCCATAATTATTTAGAGTATTTTGTATTCGGAGTATTCATCATTTTCCATCGTTTCTGACCTTTCAATAACATTGGACTTAAAGGGAAATCTTAAGGGCTCCGCTAAGCCTCATATAATTATGTCAGACGCATATAGGCCCCAAGTCCGGCAAAATCTAATATAAGGCCCATAACTGTTATAAAATTCCGACGCCTAGGTCCGACACCTCATCAGTCCGACGCCTAATAATTTGGAAATTTCGGACTTCCGAGGCGTGGCGGGGGTCCAGGTTTATCATCGGAGGAGTCGGACTTGCGATATATAGGCCTAAGGCCCCAACCTTGATAGTATAGCCTCCCATGCAGCTACGGAACAACTCGAAATTTGGTTAATCAGGGTATATATATTGTTTTATTTCGTAGTACTATGCAGTTTTCTTTGACCATGGAGGGATGGTTTGACTTTCAGGTTTTGAGTTATCAGTGTTGACTTTATCCAGATTTCGCTTATTCCAATTTGTCAGCGTTTTCACGAAGGGGTGAATTTGCCGCAATAGGTGTTGGGGTTTAACGGTTAGGGTTAGGTTTGGGGAACAGGTATAACATAATGCACCCGTTGAACTTGCAGTGGTTGTCAGAAAAGAGGTTTTAAGTTGGTCACGATTTGGAATAAACATTTCGCATACTACTGACTAACTTTTGAAACACAGATGAAACTTCAAAGATGTACCAATTACAGAATAATGGAACAACAATTGCGAGGTACCGGTATCGTAACTAATCCCCATATATGTTTGTCTGGTCGTGAAAACTAAATCCCACACACTTGTTGTTTTGGCAAATTGCCGATACCCATTCCCCACCCTTTGCACGAATTTGTCTCTTCGTAAAAAATCAAAAGACATTCAGGTGAAGTTTTCTCAACATTGATTGTTATGATTTCGTTGATTTTATCTGATTTTGACCCAGACTTCTTTCCAAAAAATGTTCGTTGCGTGCAATTTCAGCCGGAACAAGAATTTTGAAAAAAGGTATGATTTTTGGATTGATAATTTAGTCCCTCCGTAAAAACGCTGAAAACCTTTTGCAATTTGATTCAAAAATTTCAAAACTATTTTTTAAAAGACTTAAATCTAAAAATTAATGTGGCCTGACGTTGCGAACTTAGCAAGTTCTTCTTCAGAGGCTAATAAAACAGAAATGACAGAGGCACATGCATTAACAAGGGGGTGCACACAAACATGCAGGGGTGAAAGAAGAAACACAAAAGGAGGATTAGGTGGGAAAGGTGTGGAAAGATGCAGGGGAGGGTGGATGAGAGAACAAAGAAACAAAGGGAGATGGCAAACCACAAGGGGTCTGGTATGAACAGGGGAGGGACCAGAAAGACTTGTCATGCTTACTGCTTACTGCTTACTTACTCTGATTCGATTTTTAAAGAACGGGTTTTTGACTATGTATTAGCCTGGGGGAGATTATAATCTGGATTGTTTGTTTTGCGTCTGTTCTTTGACGACTCTTCGGAATTGCCCCCATGATCTACCCCTTTCGTGAAGTTGGCATCAAGTGTATTTCCTTTTATTTTCATGCCTTTGTTGTTATAACTTCTCGACATTATTGACAAGTGGTGAACATTCATATTCGTACTTGTATTAGTCATCTAAATTAAAAGCAAACACATTCTTGTCCTGGTGTAAATCAAAGAGTAAAAACAGTAAAAACAGCATGCAAGAACTGACAATAGTAAAACTTACATTTAAATTAACCTATGAATAAAATATGCCTGTAAAACACAATAATTTTTAAAATGATAACATAAAGACTGATAGCAAAAAGACACGATGCCTATCCGCCCTGGGCTAGCACTATGACAATGAAATATAACTTTAAAAATATGCCGGGGAAAAAAGGATAAAGAACTTTAAAAATGTTTTTTTTTTCCATCGTCGTAAAATACTAAAAACCACAGGTGCAGATTTTGAAAAGTTATTAAACTTAAATAAAGTTATTTTGTACTGTGTTTTCCAGTGGCTAATTCACAACAAATGATGTAGAGATCTAAACGGTCTTTCATATTTGCTGTATTATTATGTAACTTTGAATATACATGTAATGCCAAATTGCATTTTGGTCAAAAATAAAATGAAGCAAGCTTCGAGTCGAACTCCGATTTGAAAAAATTGACTTGAAGCTCGCCGATCCCCTGGATCATCCAATACATGTACATACACGTATACGTATTTGTATGCAGCATGTATGCATAGTGCCTTGCCGTGGCGTGGGAACGTATCAGATTACATATCGGCCGACCGCAATATCGATCGGTTCAAAAATAGATGGTCCGCGCGGGAATTGACCTGGATTGACCCGCAAACGTTCGGGTTGTCTGTGACGTAGGCAAGTCACCGACATATTTTTCTAAAAATGACTGCAAGTGCGCAGGCGTGCAAATTCCCGCACGATGCATAGGCCAAGTTCGTATGTGCGCCGACCGGCCGCCTGTGTGCAACTGCAACTGCACTGCAAGTGCAAGACCTGCCGCCTAGCGCCTGTGAGTATGCATTGTTCTGATTTCATTACGTTAATAAATAATTAGCAGCCAAACTGTCAAAGACTAGTCCTAACCCCAGATCATTCATGAAAAAAAATGGGCACGGCTTTCTTATGTAGATGTGTACTGCCGCCCAACTCTGGTTCTCATTAAAATTCACGTTAATTTTGCACAAGATTTTGAAGAGAAAGTCTCTTTTAGAAAGATTTATTTTTCTTCTCTTTGCTTGTCTATCCCAAATTCCTCAGACCTTGTTCAAGTTGTCATCCACTTCAGATTCCATTACTTATCACGGTTTTTGTATTTGTTCCATTTATAGAAAACCAAAAAAATGGAGGACACGGCATCTGCTTGTCTGTTTTCATTTGGTGTGATTTCAGACATTCAGTATGCTGACATAGACAACCGCCTGAACTCCACAAAGACACACACAAGATACTACCGCAATGCCGTGGCACTTCTGACTAAAGCCATAGACTACTGGAACAGTGATGTCTCATCGATGCGGCCAGATTTTGTCATGCAGTTGGGAGATATCATTGATGGTTTTAACAATGAAGGAGGCAAGACACAATCACTGCGCAGTCTCAGAGTAATCTTGAACCAGTTTGATAGGCTTCCATGTACTGTACATCATGCACTCGGCAACCATGAGTTCTACAATTTCAATCGAGTTGAGATAATGAACAGTAGGCTTTTCTCGGGAGTTCAGTTTGAGACTACTCCAAGAGATTCCAAGTGTGAGTGTTTTCCTGACTTGATCCAGCCCGATGAATTCAGTGCAGAGGGGTTGGCTTCATATTACCATTTCAGCCCAGCTCCAGGATTTCGGTTTGTGGTCTTAGACACATTCAATGAAAGCATCATTGGTCATGTGGAAAAGTGCCCCATTCATCAGCAGTCACTGCATCGTGTACGTACAGTCAACAAGAACGATGATCTGGAATCTCCTGCTGGGTTGAAAGTCTCCGAAAAGCGATTTCTGGCTTATAATGGAGGGCTTGGAGAGAAGCAGCTGGAATGGCTGGAAGATATACTGCAAGGAGCATGCTCCGCTAAGGAAAAAGTCATCTTGTTTGGTAAGACAGTGCACTTCCAGTGCTGTGTTTTACTCTTAAATAACGAAAGGAACTTTGAATTGCATCATCTCCCTCACAATCTGGTGCATTCTGGAAATTAAATTCGACAGATTTTTCCTCAGCACTGTAATGGTACAATAGTAGTGCATAGATCTGTAACAATGTGCCAGATGACCTTTTGCTATTAACTTGTGGCACAACGTGGTGTCAAGACATTTATTGTGGGATAATGTGGTATGTTTGTAGTTGAGACAAACCAAAAACTTGGATGTAATGAAGTCAAATAGGTTTACATTCGAGTTGATATGTTGATGCCAGATTGATTTTGCATAAATCGTTTTCAGTTTGAAGTTGACACATTGTACATTATCTAAGTGTATGAAATGTGTATTTATTTCTTTGTATTTTTGTTTCTTAGGGCATGTTTCAATCTACCCAGTCAATGGAGATCACACATGTCTGTTGTGGGATTACCCAAAGGTTGATAAGATGTTGCGAGCCTTTCCCTGCGTTGTTGCTGCATTTGCCGGCCATACCCACAACTATGCACACACCATTGATGCGTCGTCTGGTATCCACTTTGTTACCTTGCCTGGTATAGTGGAGGTTCCACCCGGCAGTAACGGCTTTGGCACCATTCTGGTGTACGCCGACAAACTTGTCCTTCATGGAGTTGGACAAATGGATTCTCTTGAGATGATATTTGCTTAATTAAAGCATCCAAATGACTGATTTCTTATAACACATCGTGGGTTTATGCTTTATGGTGGGTTTAGAGTGAGTGTGGTGAGATTATGCAATGCAAATTAATGATATTATTGATAGGATTTCTCTGTTCTTCTCTTATTGTACATAATAGTTATCCAAAGGAAGACAAGTGTTACATGTGTTTGTTTATGGTATAAATCGAGGACACACACGTGCAACATTATCGATGAATCGAGGACTCCTCGGTTGGAAAACATGTACAAAACCAATGAGAGCCGTTGCGAAAAAGTTACAAACAAAGGAAAAGGGAAGAGGAACAAAAGAAAATCCTCAATTTACACCATCAACAAACGTGCTAGTGTGTGTGTGTGTGATCTTCCAATACAATGCACTGTACTTTTGTAAGCTCTGTTGATATCGATATTTTTTATTAGGTTATGGAAATTTGTGTGTGTTTTCCTATTATATTTGAAAACAAAATAGTGTGGATGGGTGGAAAAAAATCTTTTTTTTTCTTCAAATGCCACAAACATACAATTAAACGACTACCTCAGTACTCATTGATATTCTCGAGTCATCTCCATCTATCATTTTGGTGAGGCCAAAGTTTAGAGTATTTTTATTTGGTTTGGACTCCCCCAAAAATTAAACACTTCTAAATTTTCTCAAGAGGGAGCGGAAACCAAAGATAAACATGAACCTCAGGTTTGAAATAGTCCTGATATAATAAATTTGAAATACAGTTTGTGTCTGCTGACTTGGCAGTATAATGGAAATCCTCTTAAGAATCTTGCCCTTTTTTTCTAAGTTATGCATCTTTACTCTCCTTTTTAATAGATAATGCATCAAATATGAATGTACATGTAGATTTTGTTTAAGCTCAATGCAAAAAAAAAAATATTAATTTATTAAGTTATTCGGAAAACATTTTGAACTTAAAGTGCTACCTTACTTTTCCATTGGAAAACAGTTTCAACATACTTATTTATTCTACTTGGTATGCAGTATTATGTCCTATGTACACAAAGCTTTAATACATCTCACAGATTTTATTGTTTAATAAATAGATTTTGAACTTTTATTGTTGGGAGAGTATTTTGCAACATTTCATATTGAGGTGTTTATTCAATGTAAAATAAATTGGTTCTAAACATTGAATGTTTGGAGAGTCTTTTAAACATTCCATATTAAATTTTTCAATGAATTTAAAATGTGATATTTTATTCCATGTTAAATGTCTATCTAAAGCCAAACAATATTGCTTACCAAAGTTATAACCTGGGAAAAATAAAAAGAACTAGTCATTAGCAATTAACATCATTTTCAATTTGACTATTTTGTTGTGAGACAGTTTTACCCTTCACATTTGTGCGACTTATTGCTCTATTTCAGCTCGTGGTTTCAACTTGTGAAAAGTTGGTTTGGGGCGATCTTCTAAGGGCGGGCAATATTGAGGGAAAGGGGGGGGGGGTGAGGGGCTTAGCATGATTTTAATACTAAAAATTATGTTTTTGTGTCCCCTCAATTTCTGGACTGAGTCACAAGTGCTGGTGTTGCTAAGGTCCGAGCATCCCCCCCCCCCCCCCCACCATTCTTTTCTAACCTCCCGACCCCCCCCCCCCCCCCCCCCCCCCCCACACACACCTTTTCACACCACTCAGTTCACCAATGTGCCTGGAACATTTTTTTAGTGAGTTTGAGTGAGTGTGTTATATATTAATGTTACTTACAAAAAATCCTTGACACGAAATGCCCACCTCAACCACCAGTCCTCCCCTGAAACCACGCCCACACTTATCAAGTTTGGGGAGGGGAAAAAATTAAGGAGCGACTTTTACAAGTTTAATTTTGTGACCGGCACATCACAGGGCCTTAAGCTATTCATAAGACAAGATTCTATTGGCTAAATCGACCAGCAACAGCGGAGCTGCCGTGGTATTTTACACCAATCAAATAACTTGATACAAAATAGTGTTCCGTCGAATTCCAAAACAGCGCGAGCGACAAATGTGAGCCGACGACACTATTGCAGAGTTGTAAAGTTCTATTTATTAACGGTTAGTGCCATCGATGAAGAAATATGTTTAGTTTATAATATAATCTACTCAAATACAATCTAATAATTAGATTTAAAATTTACATTTATGTCGAAAAGAGATATTAAACCGAAAAAAGATGTTGCCTAGTTTCCGGACATGCACCGTCAGCATGGTCGGTGCAATGCAGTGTTGCTGCATCAGAAAATGTGTGAGGGCGCTGGTCATCCGATTCAAAAGAATTCCACATACGATATAGAGGTAACTTGAAACCGTGACCCTGTATACAAACCCTATATGAGACCACTTTGAAAAATTCTAAGTGTTTTCTCACCAAATGCATCAATATTTTCCCTGCTAAACATGCTAAATTTGAGTTTTTACAATATGTTATCGCTTTCTGAATCTGATGATTTACGTAGGTGATTGCTGGGAAAAATTACTAACGTTCCTGTTGTGATTTATTTGATGGAGTAAATAAGATGTATGACCCTTCATACTCAGGTGATGAATAATTCATGATGGAGGAGATATTAGCCAACATTGAGCAGCGGCTGTATTCATTTCATATCTTGGAATTGGATGAACACAGCAGGCAAGATGGCAACTCTGGTGATAATACGCCAGCATTTGAGTCACTAATCAAGATGAATGGAAAACCAATCCCACCACCTGTGGTAAGTCAAACAATGATATGCCTCAGTTTTAGCCCTACCACCTACCACTTGTACCAGTAGCGCAAACACTTTACTAAACCAGAAGTAATAAGGCAGGGGTCAAAATAAGAAAAACAGAAATGTGTGGTTGCAATTTTAATTAAAATGTTAAAGCCCAACAATGAACAAGAACATTCATGTTCATTGTTTTTGTAGAAAAAGAAAACATTCCTGTCATCAAAAAAATGATACATTTGTGTTTGTGTAGTTCCAAAGTGTAGTTGCAACTTAAGTTGACTTTGTTGCTGTTTGCAGTTAAAAGGCAAGTTGCACTGAACTCTCTCCAAAATGTTTCTCTGCTTTTATCATTGTCAGATGACAAGACAAAAGCGTCTAGAGATGAGAGAACTGAGACATGAGGCGGTCCAGATAGAGCAGAAACTGGCCAATCAGAGGAGGCTCAAGTTGTTGGAGAAGGTTCAAGGTATCGTCAATGGAATAGAGGTGAGACTTGGAGTGTAGCTTTGTTTAGTGGCTCAATTAGGTATAACAAACAGTAGATATTTAGCAATGAGACCCACTTTTTTACGTGGGTGATAGAGGTGATTCTTTTACATGAAATTGCTAATTTATTTCACAAATTCTTTACAGGAGAGGAGATCATCGAGTCAAGCCAGCCAAGTAGATGACCAACCCACCTCACCGGAGCCAGAGGAAACTGCATCCCCGAATCTGGCAGATTGCCCACCAACTCCAGACGAATCAACAAACACAGATACTGAGACCGTCGACCACACCATCTATCGAGATCAAGGAGCATCACTGTCGGGTCTGGGTACGAAAGCACCTCAACTAGTTGCGAACCCTGCTGGAGGTATTTCTAGTGCACAAGGATCCACTAGTAGCAGCAGCGATGCAAGTCTACTCAACCAGACTGTTGTTGCAGCTTCCGACTTCAGTCCTAAAGATCGGGAAGGTACCAGCCACACCCCAGTTGATATGACACAAGACAGGACGCTTACCCTTGAAGAAAAGCTGTGTAATCATTCTTTCACAGAAGATGCTGCGGTTTCTTCCATTAGCAATTTGTCTGTTCCTGGAAGAAACATTCACCAATCAGACTCAAGTTCCTTAAATCCTGCTGGCAGAATCACAGGGACTACTCCACCCAAAACTGACAAAGATGAGACCAACTTTCAACATCCAAAGAATGTCACGGTTGGAAGTTTCACTTCTTTGGGATCAACAGCAGGAGTAAAGTTAGCCTGCTCTTGGAACCAAGAAAGCAGGGAAATACCAGCATCAGAGGAAAGATTCGAAGATGAAAATCCGCCATTGTCGAGGTTCCACCTAATGCCAAGTCTGACAGGGTCTAACCAAGATGATGATGATGACTTGGACCCTTTTGGAGAAAGAGAGACTTACCTGAGCCTTCTTGGGGAATACTCCTCTTTGCCAATGCCTGCAGGTTCCTCTCATTTCTTCTCTGACGTCTCAGCAGCTCCCTCCTCTACCCCGCTAGACAACCCAAGCCCCATCATGATTGAAAAACCATCAGAACTAATTGGAAATAATCTGTCAGTGAAGAATCCTAGCAAAGTAGCATCTCCAAAGGATGACGAGTCATCCATGTTCATCTCCACCAGCTCAACCTTACTGACCAACACTGCGGGTCTGTCATGTACTTTGCCATCAAGTCTCAGAACAGTTAGTGCTGCATCCACCCTTCAAGATGTTGATGATCCTTGGAATACACTTATTGAGACCCCTCTGCCTACCTATGAAGACTTGCAGGTTCACCCAGAGGCTCCTAGAGGGACCCCGGTAGGTCAGGAAGACAGCCATGGAGGTAATCCCACTTCTGCCACCAAAACTATCAAAGCCTCTCCAGACAGTGCAGGCAGCGAAAATGAATTCATTTCTCCAGAGAAGCGTGTCCGGCGGAACTCGTACACCCTGGATCACCCCTCCCCAGCACTGCTGAATGCCCAGGCTAGGAACGAGGCACCACGTGTCAATGTTGGAAGTGAAGATGGTGGATCATCAGCCAGGAGAAGTCTTGAACTTACGAAGGACAGTGAGATCGAGATCAATGGCAAGTCCAAACAGGCTGAGGTTGACAGGGTTACTGGATCTGGAGGTCAAAAGATTGATCTAACAGAAGGTACAAATTATTCATCTTAATACTGATACCAATGACAAAGCGGTGACTTTTGTTGGTTGCATTATGAACTGATGAGTTTGGTATGCTTGATGCTCCACAGAGTGACAAATCTGATGCGTAATCAAGTAGTAGATTTGTCAATGCATAGTGCTGTCAATATATTAGATTTTGTGGTGCAAACAACATTTATCTTGCAATTGAAAGCAAACAAAACACCACTTTATGTTTGTGAACACTGAAAGATGACTTTATTGTTTTTCTAATTCAGAACTTTCAGAGGAGAATGTCTTGCAGCAGCAACTGCAGTACTTTGAGGAAATGAGACTACATCTGGAACAGCAGCAGCGAGAACAACTGCAGCAACTGCTGATGGAGCAACAACGAGCACAGATGACACTACAGCAAGAGATGGCCCAGCTAGAGCGACGCTTCCAACAGAAGCAACAGCAGCAGCAACAGGATCAGGCAACCAGTAGGGAGGAGGATAGGGCAGCAAGCAGGGAGGGTGTAGCTGGGAGAACTGAAGTCTTGGTAGAGTCTCAAGGAAAGGGTAAGTAATGGAACAACATCATGGTCTCAAGTTCACGGAGCCGCTCCAATGGCAGCTGCTTTCATCAACAATCTGAAATAAAAATGCCAACATATTTGCAATTAACTTCTGTCTCTTTTCAACAGTTTCCATAACATCTACAGCAAGCTTTGGTTCAAAAGAGTCAACACCCACATCAGCAAAGTCCTCACAGCATGTATCACCAGATGTCTGCTCAAAACACACCAGTCCCTCATCTCTCACAATGGTCTCTCCTGAAGTCAAGTCTACCAGCAAGGTGGGCAGTGGAGGGCAGGCTGAACCATTCTACTTAAGAGGGGATACCAGCAAACTTGCCAGATCACCTGGTGTGGGAGAGAATGTGGCTACTCCAGTAAGAATCAATCTTCACAACAAGGTAAATTAGTCAAACCAATAAAACAGAGGATGTAACAAAAGAGGCACGGCCAGGGCCCCCATTTTCTCCAACATTTATAACTGCTTCCCCTATCTTTTTTTGGTAAGCCCTTGTCTTTCAGACATACTGTGTTGACTGTAGCACTATTACACCTGAGTGCAATATCACCTCTGCAAAGATGCTCAGAGTTTGTGCTCATTAAGATGAAAATGTATTTGCGTGCTGTAAAAGCGTACTCAGTGCAATACGCACACGAACTAGTGTGCACATTTAGTGTGTCATTCACTGGCTCTTGTAAGGAGATCACATCTGATGTCACGATGGGTACCTATATGTAAGAATGGATCATACTGTTTTGTTTCAACAGATCAATTCACCAACAATGAAGAAGAAATTTGACAAAATCTCTGCTGTTGCCAAAGGATACTTGACCAGACGAATCTTCAAGACGCATCGAGTACAATCGATCATTAAAACCATAAAGTAAGACTAAGACCCACTTCATGGGCCCT